CCCACCCCGGCATAGGGCAGCACACTCAATCCGTCACTGCCCAACACTCTGGCAGTCACGCTGCCATCAGATAATCACAGTCACCTCACACTCCAGCGGCCACCAAGCAGGTGCACACCATCAGAGAAGCATCCAGTGATTTCCTGAATGCCAGGTTGTAGGCAGTGCTGCCACGGTAATGCCCATTTGATCTTGGAGACATCACCTAATAGGTTTTAAGCAGCAAACATATTTTTAGTGCACTATGTCAAGCACTAGGCTGAGTATTTACTTCATTACTTCATTAAGTGTTTGGAGGAGAAAAATAATTTTTAAAAACCCTAGAAAGAAAGAAAAAACAACTCCAGAAAATGTTTCTATCAGTCCCACATTGTTAAAGAGAAACTGAAGCTTAGAGGTGATCTAAAGGTCTGACACCGGCCAGCAACGGCCCACCTCGTAGACCTCAATTTCCTTTTCTGCCAGGTGGAAGGAGTGGGCCTTGATGATCTCTAAGTTCCTTTCAGGCTATAAAAAAGAAAATGTGTTTCCATAAACTTCCCTGTGCTTATGCCTCTGGCAAGGCCTGTATGGGACACCAGAGACTCTGGAGGCCACCCCACCCCACACGGGAAATGCAGAGGCAGCACCTGCTGACAGGAACAGCCATCTGTCTGTTGAGGCTTCTTCTTGTCACTTAGGTCTGGCTCCAGTTGCTGTGAGCCACCACGCTGGCTGGCCCGCCCAGTCCCTTTCATCCTGGCTTTGATCTCCCTGGCTCCTGCTGTGTGGGCACACCTCCTCATCCCTGCTCTCCACTCTGGCTCTCACTCCTGCTGTCTCCACTTCACCCTTCCCCAGCAACCTCTGTCTGAGAGTCTTTCTTGCCCTGAGAATCTTCTCTTTCTCTTCTCTGCCTCATTCCATCTTCACCCATCTCCCCAGAAGTGACCAGCTAGACTCAATATTCTCAGGTTTATAGAAGTCTGGTGATGGGAGGGACTTTCAACTTTCACTTGTCCGACTTCTGGAACCCTTCTAGAAGACAACTTACATCGACTAAACACAACTCAGGAATGGCTGACTTCATTAAGTCAAGTACAGACCTTGCCATAAAGCAGGCACTGTTTACTTGCATTCTCACTGAAACCTTTTTATTAATCTTTTATGTAAGTATCACACTGCACCTTACAAATACAAGCACTATAGCTCTAAAAGGTCAAAATGAGCCCCAAGACTCACATGCTCACACATCTCTAGGTGACTATGTCAGGATTCAAGGCCAGGACCATCTGGCTTAAGGCCTTCCAGTGCACCAGGCTGCCTCCATGCTAGAAACAGAGCAAACCTCAGCTCTTCTCTATGAACTAGTTCTCATCTCTAAGACTAGGGCAGAACATCTGGATGTCTCCAGCATCACTGTCTGCAAGGTTACTGATGGAGCCAACTGCTCTCCTCTTTCCACATTGCCTTAGACTCAGGACAGCTGACCACAGGAATCTTAGCTCCAGTAACAGAACCCAAGGCCACTCAAGGGTGGTCCAGAAGAGAGAAGAGGAAGATCTGCCCTTTCCCAGGCTTCTGCCTGTCAAAAGGTTTTAGAGGAGTCTTTTTTATAAAAAGTCAAGAGACAAAGAGAATACATTCTTAGAGGCCCGTAAAATAAGATCCCAAATTCTCAGATATTAGATGAAAAAGAGATGGTAGCAACTGATCCCCAAAGATACAATAGTATTCTTCTTCAAGTCCTTGATATCATACTCTTCAGGGGTCATACAGGCTAAGAAAGAGGCTACCAAGAGTCTTTCTCCTACCACATAGAGCTTTTCCACCCAAGGACAGTGAAATGAGAAGTGTGGAAGGCTCTCCATCCAATCCTATAGTACCCTAACTTTATCAATCCCATAATCCTAAACCATCAGGGAAGGGCCTTTGATTACTGAGGGCAGGGCATCCCCCCAGCATGACACAAGTGGGTTCTATCTATGTTCAGATATTGATCCCATAGCCCACGGGCCACAGAGGCAGTGAGTCTGCATTGTCCCGAGCCCCAAGCTGGTTAAGTAGCCTCCTCTCACCACCCTAGTATACCAGTGACTCAGTCCATAGCAAACTACACTGTTAACCCAAAAGCCAACCCTCTTTGGCTGTATGGCAGCTCTGCAGGAAAAGGATGTGCAATCTCCTCTCGTGCTATTTACAGCCTCAGAAACCTGCTAGAAGGTGGGTTATTAGTAGGTTCTAACTGGACAGCAATGAGTGTGTGTGATAAGAACAAGGTTGGGAAGAAAAGGCAGAGCAGGAACCAGCCTGAAGTCCCACAGAGAGCTTGTGGCAGAGTCTGCACTGCAATCTTGATCTCCCTGATCCCAGCCTTCTTTTTACTGCACACCCCATGACCTGACTGATTTCCTGGTGACAGGCTCTTCTCTCTCCTCTGTCTTGTTCTATCCTCCCAAACCTACTATGTGTCCCTGTTTCTCCATGCAGGATGCCCCCTCACCCAACTCCAGGGCTGCTCTGGGAGGAGTAGAGTCATCAGGAACTACAAAGAGGGATCTTGCCAGAAAGCCTTATTCTCACAGTGGGAAGCGGTCCCCAGAGTACAGATACTGAGTGAGGGCTGTGTGGGGCCCAGTTATCTCTGGGCAGCGGGTAACTGTTCTGTGAGCTACAGACCTAGTAATTTCCTCATTTGTCTTGTCAACATCCTTGTCCCGCAGAATGTCAAGTCCATTAAGTAAAGATTTTCTGCTCGCAAGATACTCAAATGTGACTCTAGGAAGCAGCAGGGGTCTGGGCTAAGGTGAAGGCCTCTGATCTCCAGCAGTCAGAGGACAAGTAAAAGTTATTTATTTCTGGAGGTAATCCAGTGGCATCTTCTCCATGTATTAGTATCCCAGCAATACCTAAGCTGCAGCAGGGTGGGAAGTGCACTCAGAGCCACCAGGGCATCCTCAGCATAGAATCCACATGCCAGTGAGGTCCTTAACCTGCATCTCAGCCCTAGAATATTGCATTAAAAGAGTGTAATATAGTGAATTTGTATTCAAAACTAATCAGAAAGTCAGAGTATCTGTATTAGAAGAGAACTTAGTCAGCCCAACAGAATATCCAGTCCCATAAGGCCGGCAAGACCTGCCTGAGGTACCACGGTAACTATAGGCAGAACCAGACTGGAACCTGCTCCAAGCCCAACACCTCCACTATCACCCGACTGGGATGTTACGATGGTAAGAGCACAGTGCAGGACGTTCACCATTCCACTCACCCCCTTGAGCCCCTGCATACAACCAGCACTGAAAGACAGGCCAGATGGCCACCTTCTGCCAACAGGGCCAATCTGCCATCAGGGACATCCACAATGTCCCCAGGTCAAAAGGTTAGCACGTGCACCCTCCACAGCAGGACGCATCACCTCTAAGAGAGCAAAAGTGGGCTTTTATTTGGGAACAGAAGAAATGGAGCATTACAATGCCTTGGGAACCTCTAAAATGCAACCTTACCTGCACAATTGTATTCCTAAGTATTTCACTTATCTTGTTAAGAAAAACTAATTTTTTTTTCTCTTACAGATGTGTGATAATGGTGGAAGGGGAGGGGAATTTTAAAACACTGCCTGAGAGAATTCTTTGGAAAGGTAAAGGTCTTGCTGGAGGGCCTTATATTAGAAAGGTAGTTATTGTTGTTGTTAGGTGCCAATGAGTTGTAACTGACTTATAGCTGAACCCTCTATAGGTTTTCCAAGGCTATAAATCACACAGGAGGAGATTGCCCGTCCTCACCCTCAGAGCAGAAGTTAGTGGAGTTGAGCCACAAGCCTTTGTGTTGGCAGCACAATTCCTCACCCACGAGGCCACCAGAGCTCCAGTGGTTCTCAAAAAGTAATGATTTTGTTCCCTAGAAGACACTTGGCACTGTCTGAAGACATTCTGATAATCAATGCAGGGGAGATGCTATTGGTATCTCATGGGTAGATGCTAGAAACACTGCTAAGTAGAGCATCGCATGACAAAGAATTACTCAACCCAAAATGTCAATAGTGCTGCAGTTGAGAATTACTGCCTTAGACTAACAGGCGCTTCAGAAACCTTCCGAGATCAAAGATTCTGCTTGTAGGCATGGCTGGCATAGGTCTCTCTCCAAACCCACAGCACCTTCCCACAGAATGAAAGCCTTGTTTCAAACGTACAATCCCTGACAAAGACAGGGTATCCAGTAAGGATGGCAAGCAGGGGCTTACTTGTGCTTATGTTCGAATCGGCAGTGAACAGTTTCATGTGGACTTCACCACGTCCACAAGCACGTTTGTATCTTGCTCACTGGGTAAGCCCACCCTGGTGAAACCCTGCCCCAGTGCCCGAGCTCACTAGTCTCCCAACTACCAAAGGGAACAAATTTACAAAAGGAGAACTAAGAAAAACCTCAATGTTTCCAATATATGGCTTACGAGCAGCAAAATTAGACCTCAACATGGTGCCTTACTTCCCAGAAAAGACTAGGACTAGGGAATGAAACGGTTTGAAGCAGGACTTCCAGGCAAGGGAGAAGATGAGAGGGGGAAATGGCTAAGGAAAGCTCCGGGCAGGAGGCACTCTGGAAATGCTCACAGCCACAACCACAGCTAATGACTACTGACTGCCACGCGTCCCCAGCAGCCTTCTGAGCCCTTCACAATCTAGTGACTCATTTTGTCCTCTCAATAATCCAGCAAGGCAGGTACTATTATTCTCTCTCATTCCACAGCTGAGGAACTGAGGTACAGATGGGAACCAGCAGGGCAAGATGGATGACAAATCAGGAGCGTGACACCAGATTTCAAACTCAAGAAGCCCTAGATGATGAGTGTGGTGCTAAGCAACATCTATAAACACTTGGTTCCAATTTACAGATGAAGTTCGGAAACGTTAAAAGACTTGTGATAAGAGCAGAGGTAAATGAAGTTCAGGACACCCAAGTCCACGCCCAGAGCTCTCACTACCACGGGACAAGAGGGAGCCAAGGCGCTCGGAGCCACTTACCTGAGAAGATTGAAGCAAGCCTGAAGATGTCCGAGAGGCGGGAGGTGACGGGCTCATAGGGTGAGGCTTCGTAAAACTCCTCACCTGGAAGAGAGAACCAGCATTAGACACAGGCTAGAAACCAGCATCAGACACTGAGGAAAATTCCGCTGCAGGGGCTTGTGCTATGAAAGCGGGTGGTATATGAGAAAGTCCTTCCCACAGTGAAAAGTTATGAGGGAAATGACTAGCAATTCATCTAGGAAGTTCACATCTTGCCAACTAGAACAGACGTCCCCCGACCAAAAAAAAAAAAAGAGGTCAGAATTGAAATTTCTCTCCTGGAACTCCCTGTATGACCAACTCTCTTCTAAAGATTTCCACATGCTCCAAAAAGAAGGCACAGAAGACATGGACACAATATCCTGTGGAAAGCCATGTACAAATCACAGGATTTGAAGCTGGAAAGGCCCTCCAAGATCAGAGTACAAATACCTCCATTTCACAGGACAGGGCCCTGAGGGGATTCAGAGAAGCCAAGCAACTTGCCTTAGGTCACACAGCTCTTCATGAAGAAGCTCCAGCTGGACTCCCAGCCCCCTGATCCTTACATAGATATTCTTTCCCACGGCACTACCTTTTCTTTGTCCAGGCCATGAATGGGAGCTAATATTTCCTCTTTGCTAACAGTCTTGTCACCACTGAAGGACCTGCTCACCAGCCCCTGTCTGCCTCACCCCTCCTTCACACACGCTACCTGTCTTCCACATCTGCCTGAAGCTCATCAGACTTTCTCTTCATGGCTCAGGGTGTATCAGGGGCTCAGGAAAGGGAAAAGCAAGTAAATGACAGGAGATAAATAGCACACAGGCTGCCCTGAATAGTCTCACCACCACCTCACTGGGAAGCCCGCCCCCTCTGTCAAGACCTCAACAGAAAAGAAAACGTCCTCCTGAGACAATACTGTGAAGAAAAATCAATGGATAATCACTCAGACTGTGCACGTGGGTTGAGGGGGCGGAGGAAACAGGTGATGACCCACAGCCTCACACATTGATCTTCCACCCGCCCAGAGTCCATGTCACAGGCACACTCCATGAGACCACCTGCAGGAAAGGACCACCCATTCTTACAAACATCTGTCCTTAGAACCTTCTGTAAGAAACACCTTCACCCTGACCCAGGGGGTCACCAGAGGCCGAGCCTAGAGATGCACCCTGCCCTCTGCTGGTCCACAGAACAAGGAGTCTGTCAGTTACATACACCAGCAGTCTTCCAGAAAAGGGGTACAGAACCCCAGAGGAGCAAGAAGTGCTTTTCTTCTTGGTATAATTGCTTCCACTCTTCCCTTTACCTCATAAAAGCATTCTTTATGGCCTGCAACGTCCGGCACAGCAGGTGACTGACCACATTTGCCAACTGGCCTACTTCAAATGCTATTCACTCTTTAAGGCTTGTCTCCAGTCCCACCTTTTCCGTAGGCCTTCAGGAGCACCACAGACCATTGAATCTCAGTGTACACCACTGTATCCACTAACCTGTATACTACCCAGAAAAAACTCCCCATGATGGGATTACTTGACATTACTATTTTTGGAGGGGTCAAATGTATTCTGTATTATGTAAATGTATTTACCTTGGGGAGCTACTTTCATAATAACATAATATTATACTGTGCTTTCTATGTGCCATTGAAAGCACTATTGAAAAAATTTTAGGTTTATTCAAAAACCCAACTCACGGCCGTCATCAACTCACAGTCAGTCATAGTGGTTTTCAAAGGCTGTAAAATGCACAGGAAGAGACTGTGCTTTTTTCTCCCGAGGAGCAGCTGGTGAATTCAAACCATTTATCTTTGAGTTTGCAATGCAACTCCCTACCTACTAGGCCCCCTGAGCTCCCAAGCTATATTAGCTCATTTAATCCTCAAACAGCCTATGTGGTGGGTTCCACTAGTACCCTTATTTTAAACTGAGACCCAGATACACTAAGGAGTTTGCTCTAAGTCACAGAGTTGGTAAGTGGCAAAGTTAGACTTTAAACCTAGGTAATGGCCAAGAGCTCATATTCTTAACTATTACCAATACCATCTCCAAAAAAGGAAAATGCTATTGGAACCAAGTTGTTCTTGAACAAGATAGTAAAGTAGTTGAACTTTTTACAGATCAAGTCTTCCACCAACTGGATGGGTTCCTGGATGGAGAGGAGGGTCAGTCTCTTTCTCCTGCATCTCATATATTTCTGTGCCTGGAGACAAATTCGTCAAGATGATTGATTAAAGGGTCTCTAGGGGAACACTTCATCTTCCAGGGCCATTTGAGAGGTTCCTTCCTCTTTAAACCAACAAGTTCCTGCAGCAAGACTCACCAGTGAGAAATTCTGAGGCCAGGGACACTCAGGTGGCCCAGGAGCCAGGATGAAGCCAGATTCATGATGTTCCAGGGCCCCAGCTTGGGAGGGACATGTCAGAGAGGTCTATTCTCTATTTTGTCCAAACAATTAAGGTGATTCTAAATTTCAATGTCCCTGAGAAATGTGCTCTCTAATACTCCAGGTAACCAGTAGTAACAGCCCAAGTATTGTGTAAATATTGCTGGTTACAGTGGTGGCGATGACCAAAGGAAAAGACAGGCCTACCACCATGAGGTCTTCCCTAGAGCAGTGAAAAGGGAAGCTGAGGAGTCCTGTGTGCCCTCTTGGGTTTGTCCATCAGCTTATTGTATTTATATGAGGCTCATCTTCCTCCTCAAATGAGGGGGGAAGCCAAAGGAGGAGGTGAGACCATATGATCTCTGGGCCCTTTGTAGTCACATCTTTTGAGACTACATTCCTACCATAGCCCACTCTCCTTCCCCCACTGTCACCCATCAGCTTTTTCCCCATATGCTGAGGACCTCAGAGTAAAGAATATGAACCTATCCTCAGTAGGCAGAGAATGTGGAGTGAAGTCCAACAGCAAAACCCATCAGTAGGAAACAAGAAGCCAAGAATCAGAGGGAAAATCTAAAATTATTCTTCTCAGTGACTCTTTCCATCCCTTCTGTGCAAAGCTCAAGCCAGGCAATTAAGTCTGATTAAGAAAAGAGAGGGAAGTACTTGCAGCCCCTAGGGAGACTGGGCAACGTTGGCCATGAATAATTCACTTCCAGGTAGATAGACCCTATCACTTACAGGAGCATTGCCTTGTGTCAAAAGGCCTCTTTGCTCCTTTTGTCCAGTCCTGAACTATCTCTGGACCCAAGACTGAGCCATAGACAAAGCAGCAGGCTTCCGAGGAAGGAGAAACCCAGGTGGTCTGCTATCCTGAGAAGGGCCTAGGAAAAAGGTCTTCCAGGCCCTTAGCTGCTCAAGGACTATGGCTTCTTTATTCATGATGTTGTTGTTATGTGCCATTGAGTTGAGTACAACTCATAGTACCCCTATGACCAACATATCTGAAACCTGTCCTAGCCTGTGCCGTTCTCCTCATTTATGGCATACTTGAGCCCATTGCTGCACTCCCTGTGTCAATTCATCTTGTTAAGGCTCATCCTTTCTTTTGCTGACCCTCCACCTTTCCAAGCTTAATACCCTTTTCCAAAGAATAGTCTCTCATAGCAACATGCTCTGAGTATGTGAGATGAAGCTTTGTCATCTTTGTCTCCAAGGAGCACTCTGGCTGCACTTTTTCCAAGATATGCGTGTTCTTGGGATATTAAGTACTTTTCTCTAACATCACAGCTCAAAGACATTTATTCTCCTTCTGTCATCCTTACTCATTGTAGCAAATGATTGAAAAGATCATGACCTGAATCAGGCACCACCTTAATCATTAAACTGACAACATTGATGCTCAGTAATCTGGAGAAGTCCCTAGCAGGAGACTTGTCAAATGCAGTATGTTTCCTGATCTCCTGACTACTATGTTAACTGTGAATCCAAGTAAGATAAAATTACTGGCAATTTCAATCTTTTCTCCATCTATCACGATGTTGCCTATCAGTCCAGTATGAGAATTTTTTTTCTTGATGTTGAGATACAACCCATATTGAAGGTTGTAGTCTTTGATCTTCAGCAGCAAACATTTCAAGTCCCCCTCACTCGAGGCAAGTAAGGTTGTATCACCTGCATAAATCAGATTGTTGAGTCTTCCTCCAAATCTGATACCACATTCTTCTTCAGTTGAGATCAGGTCCTTTAATTATTTTCTCAACATACAAATTGAATAGGTATGGAAAGAGGATACAACCCTTTCTTAATTCTTAAAGGTTTAATTCTTAAACCTTTCTTAATTTTAAATAGTGTTCCCTTGCTCTATTCAGACAACAGCCTGTTGGTCTAGGTATAGGTTTCATATGAACACAATTAAGTGTTCTGGGACTCCCATTCTTTTCAATGTTAGCTATAATTTGTTAAGATCTACACAGCCAAATGCATTTGCATAATCAATAAAACACAAATAAATATTCTTCTGGTATTATCAGCTTTCAGCAATGATATACCTGGTGCCAAAGCCTCTTCTATACCCAGCTTGAACTTCTGGCAGTTCTCTGTAATGTACTGTTCTAACTATTTTGTATGATCTTCTGTAAGATTTTGCTTGCATGTGGTATTAATTATATTGTTCAATAGTTTCCACATTCTGCTGGATCACCTTTCTTGGTAATAAGAACAAATATAGATCTCTTCCAGTCAGTTAGTCAGACAGCTATCCTCCAAGTTTCTTGGCATAGAATGTTTCTTCATTCATAGTAAATTCTCAGCAAGTGTTTGTTGATTAAATGAGTGAGTAGATCATTCTAAGACTTGGAACTAGAAATTCATTGTCTCCAACCAGGCATTCCACAGGCAATGGGTTTGAAATTAAACTAAGAACTCATTGTTATTGAGTCTATTACAACCTATGGTGACTTCATAGGTATCAGACACTGTAATCTTTATAAAAGGAAGCAGATCACCAAGAACTTTCTTCCAGGGAAAGAGTGAGTGAGTTTGAACAGCCAGCCTTTAGGTTAGTAATCAGGAGCAAATCAATTACGATACCTGGGGACCCTGTTAGATTGAAAGGGTCTTCAAACCTACAAGGCATTGTGATTGTCACAACACCTCAGTTTCTCAGGCTCAACTCATCACAGTCCTCTGAGCTCAGAGGCAATGATGCAAGAGGAACCACTGAGATGTGAAGGGCTGTTTGTACTAAAAGGCCCAGCCTTCCCACCTGGCTTTACTGAGCCAATATGCTTTGGGTTGAAACTGAAGGCTGTCAGAAAGAAAACAAGAAGCAAAAAGGCCAAGCTCACTGAGCCAGAAGCCTTACATTTTTGGTACAATAGAGAGGCAGGCTCAAGATGACGACACTCCTCGTCCCATACAGAATAAAGCAATGTGCTTTGTGACATACCGCCCTCTCTTTGGTCGCTGTTAGCAGTCAAGATATCTAGAAATGGGAGCAAAAACCACTTGATTCGGGAGAAGTTTTGTGTTATTGCTGTTGCTGTCATTATATGCCTTGAGTCAGATCCAACTCATAGCCGACCCTCCAGCAGGCTTTCAGAGGAAGTTAATTGCACAGGAGAAGGGTGTCCATCTTTCTCCCACAAAGCAGCTGGTGAATTCGAACCATGTACCTGACATGGCAATGAGCTCCTTACCACTAATACCCTTAATAATCACATGCACATCTTACTCCTATATTTAGGACATATTTTAACTTTCCTGGACCCAAGTTAGGAATCCGTCTCTCTTGCCTCTATACCCACAGATGCATGTCGGTCTCCTCCTTCCTTTTCAGCACCTTGTACATTGGTTTTCCTCTGATCTCAGGCTGATCCCTCCCCATGCTCCCGGTCCACTCCCTCCTGCCCAAGAAGACACTGCTCTACAGAGGACCCCTTTCTTCCTCTCAACACCTCTATCTCGCCTATCCTTCCTTCAAAATTTAAAATGCTCAGGCTACTCTCATCTTAAAAATAAAATAAAAAAAAGATGCTGGTCTACTCATAGCCTAGTGGTAAGAAGCTGTGCTGCAGTCCCAAAGGCTCATGGTTCTAGTACAAAAGTTGCTCCATGGGAGAAGGATGGGCAATCTCCTCCCATGCAATTTTCTGCCTCTGAAAACCCACTGAGGGTCAGCTATGGGTAAGTTCCAACTCAATGGCACACAACAACGACATACCAAGATTCTAGAAGGAGTAGTTCATATTGATCATCCCTAATTCCCAGGCTCTCCTCCTCTCCCCGGCCACTGGCCACTCTCCCCAGTCACCCAGGGCACTGAGGAAAGTTTTCAGTCCTTCTCCTGTTTAATCTCAAGTATTGGATGTGGCTGCCTCTCCTTCCTTCTGAGAATGGGTTATGTTGCCCTTGTTTTCCTGGGTTTCTGCCTACCGCTCTGCAGTGCCTCCTCTGTCACACTTCTAGCCTTTCTTCCTCCACCATGCTTAACTGTGGGGTGGTCTTCAGAGCTGTGCCCCTGCTGCTGCTTTTAACTCTCCACAATTTCCCTGAGTTTTCTCACTCACCCCACCGGCTCAGTTACCACTTGTAGGTGGACATCAACTCCTAGAACTCTATCTCCGGTCCAAAGTCCTCATCCAAGCTCCAAACTTTCATGCCCTTCCGGCTGCCAGGCACCCGCTCCCAAATAAACTTTCAAATTCTTTGCCCTCTCCTACTAAAAGCTTGGCTTCTATTTATTTGAACGGCATCGTCATCTGCCCAGACACTGAAGACAGAAAACATGATACCATCTTTGACTCCTCTCCTCCCTCTTACTGTCTTAACTTTAATTAATCATGAAGACCTGTTGAGTTTACTATTTACAACCACAGTCCTGGCTCAGCCACCATCATTCCTGGACTGTATTACAGCAATGCCTCCAAACACTCCCTCTTTCAGCTGTTCTTCACTGGAATTAGATAAGGGTTTTGTCTAAAGCATTATTCTGATAATATCACAGTTGATACGACTGAGTCGCATCATCTTACAACCTTCCTGGCCTCTCCTCACTTCATGACCACTTTCAGCTTTACTCTCTACTCACACTTTGTTACTTACTGTTGTCTAACTTGGCTCAACTCTCTCACATCCAGGCCTCAGCCCATGCTGGTCCCTCGACCTCACACCCTCTGCCTGTACTCTCCTCACCCATGTAACTCCCATAGTTTCAGGTTGGAAGCCAATTCTCACAGGAAGACTTAGGATATTTCTTAAGAAGGGATAAGATGCCCCACAATGTGCCACCACAGCACCCTGTGTTTTCTTTACTGTAATAGCAATGCCACCAAATTACAGAAACCCCTGACTTCTCTGCATCCCTAAATGGTGAGTTCTATGAACGTGAGGCTCAATAAATAAGCAAACTCTCAATAAATGTTTGGTGAACTAAAAAAAAAAAATCAACATCTGACCTAGGCGGCCAATCCCCCTGAAGTGTGTACAAGTCTTTCACACCCCAGCTGAGAGGGAAAGAGATGGAGTAGAGAAGTCACTGGGGGTAGAATACGTAGATTTTCTGCTTGAGATATCAAGGCAGGTACCCAGGGAATGGGGAACCTGCTGCCTACTTACAGCTCAAAGGCCTAGAAAAAGCACCTAGGCCAGCTGTGGAGGAAGTACTCTGAAAGGCCAAGGCTCCTGAGAGCAGGCAGCCAGGTTCAGGAAGGATGGAAAGACAGACAGCCCCTCATCTCCATTCCTCAGGCAGCAGCGCATGAAGGGGCTCACCTCCTCTCTTCAGCAAGGTCTGCCCTTTCTCCCTCAAAGTTTTCCCCATTTGCCTGGTAACTTTTGCCTCATCTGCTGCTGTTGCTGCTGCAGCTGCATCACACTGTCTTTTGCTTGTCTTCCTCTTTGCCCCGTTTCTCCAGTCCTCATTCTCTTCTTCCCACTACTTCACCCTCTCTGCCTTTCCCACGGCCACTCTGCCTCCTGCTGTCTCCTGGTCTTCTCCAACAATGGCAGCCATCCTACAGCAGGTGGTTACACCTCCTGGGTTCTAGGTTCCCCTGGCAGATGGAGAGCTGGCCAGTTGATTCCATGACCAAGTCCTCCTCCTGAACCCCTGGTTCTCCATGCACCCCACCTCCATCACCACCTCACCATCACCATTACCACCGCCACCACCACCACCATCGCCCCCCTCTCCAAGGTGCCACCAGGGCTTACCCTCGGTCAGCCCCAGGTGGATGCTCCAGTAGATCTGCAAGCACTGAAGTTCCTTCTTCATGCCCCGCTTGCAGCGGCAGTCGTACAGCGGACTCTCCTGCAGGACCTCCAGGGCCGCCTGGCACTCCTTGTTGGCCAGCATGGTGTTGCGGTCCCGGCCTGCCAGGCACTGCCGCAGTGTGCGGTAGCGGGAGCTGCAGTTGGATTCAGCTGCACACAGCTCATTGGCCCGGACACAGTCCACTGGGGGGCGCCAGCCGTGCAGCTCGGGGCCCTGAAGGGAGGAAGGGCTGGCCAAAGAGCGGAGGGTCTCGTCTGGGTAGCAGGGAGGGAAGACAAGCATGAATGAGGGCCGCCACCACCTCCAACCCAAGGTACAAGCCTGGGGGCTTGGACGATTCTGGGCACTTCGTACCCACTTTTCACTGAGGCACATTAAGGTCAATTCAGCATTGCCTTCACCAATTCAGGGAGGAGGAGAAGAAAGTGATGAAAGGACCCCAAGACACGAACGTCCTTCCCCAAACCCAAAGGAGGAGTCAGTCTCCCCTGGGTGGATTATTTTCTTTTCCAGTGCCCATCATGCCATCACTCCTCCGCACTGACTCTGCGCCAAGAAGGCCTGCACATGAAAGCCAGCAAGGCTGCAGGCTCAACTTTCACTGGACCATCACTGGAGACCACAGATCATCTAAGATGCCAAGAATCCAGAGAAGGCTGTGACAGCCTCTACAGACAAGTAGGGCACAGAGGGAATAATCTCACTTTAATACTACCCACTCCTCCTAGAAACCAGCCAGGGGCCCGGATGAAAGTGTGTTAAACTTCGCCACCACCAGAAATAATTTCACTTTCATAGCCTGTTAGGACCTCAGAATCCAGACTCCAGCCCCTGAAGAAACCAAGGCCCACGGAAGGGAGATGAGATTCCAAGGTTACACAAAGGATAGAAAAGCCCTTTCTGACCTGTTTGTTCTGAGTTCCTTCAAATAAAGAAAGGCCTAACTCTATGATCTGTACCATGCCCAGAAGTGAGGTGCTACCTCTTTCTGAAGCCACTCCTTTCTCACCTTCCAATCTAATTCCTACCAGGCCAGCACCTGAACGTTGCCTTCCACAGGATTAGTACTAACCCAGGCTCCCTCTAAAAGAAAATGTGTTAGGCAAACATGAGGAACAACTCTGTGTCTCAGCTGACTCTCTTTCCCCCTTCGCTAGATGGGAGGTGTTTCTCCAGCACCTTTTCTTTCTGAATGGTCTTGCTTTCTTCTCTCCCTCATGTCCTTTTTCCTTCATTCCTCTGTTCTCTGCCCTTCTCTAAAGCCCTATCCCCCTGTCCCTCCTCTTTATCCCTTTTAAAAAGACAGCTAACAAATCAGCTGCAAAGGGGAAAAGCTGTCCTCCTTCAAACCCTTACCTCATTGACAGCCCCATTTCTCCAAAGTAGACAAGGATCAATGACTGCACCCTGCTCACCCATTGCCCCACTATGTCCAAACCGATATGGGCACAGTGACTCAGAAGGGAGGGGGCTGGAGAAGAAGAAATGGAGGGGAGGAACAAGAAGAAACCCATTTAATCCTTTCAAACTCCAAAATGTTTTTCTCTAGTCTCAGACATCTCATTTCCCTGTCGTCTCCTAACTAAGCACCCAGCTCCAAGTCCTAAACCTGCACAATATCCACACCATGACCCAGCTGCTCCAACCCGCCTTCAAATATAAGATGCTACAAAGCCAGAAGCCCTTTCCTCAGAATACTGCAGAACGCGCCCCCCACCCCAACCCATCCCGTCCCATCCCTACCCAGAACCACACTTCTCACTCATTCCCCCAGGAGGCCCTGCTCAGGGGGAGTTACCGCAGGGAGGCAGCGACACCTAGAGGCAGAGTTCAGGACAGCGAGACTATCACTCCAAGAGAGCTGCCAAAGGAAAAGGAATAGGCTTCTGGAGAGACATACAAGAAAGAACAGAGGAGCAGGGGACAGGCCAGAGGCACAGAAGGTCTCAGGAGCCACAGCAAGAGGCATTCCCTTCTTCCACCTGAACATACTGCTACTCCAGAACAAGAAAGGGTACAGGCAAAAATCTAAGAAGATATTAACATGTAATGTGGCCACTGGCAATGGGGTGCCTGGAGAGGTATCCTCCTGAACAAGCCAAGGCAGCATTTTTATTTCCCAACTTCAACAGATTCCCAGGTCCCTCATCATAAATGGGGTGCATCTGGAGCACCCATGAGCAGCTGAGCTGACACTGCCTCACTCGCACCTGATGCCATCACCCAGCCAGCTAGCCAACCGGCTAGGAGCCTCTAGTAGGGCCCAACCCTAAGCCTTCCACTGCATCCTCAGCATCTAGTCAGTTTCTGCCCTCCCACTTTGAGCCCAAGACTGCTCTGCTGGAGGTGGACTGAAAAAGGAGCATCCTACCATCTCATGGTCAGATTTCTGTAGGCTCCTAACTCACAGCACATCTAAAGATCAGGAAACTGGCCCAGGGACCGAGTTCATAAGGACATATACCCTACCTGCCCTACAGGTGGGATTCAGAGCCCCGAGGGACGAATGAATCTTACAGATCCCTAGACTCCTGTGACAAAAGTGAAGAATCCCCCCTACTGTGAACTGGGACACGTGACCAGGTCAGGATGACACTCTGGGAAGAGACAAAACATCTTTTTATCAAGCTGGGTCTGAATGCTGTCTGTCCCTGTCTCTCTACTTTAGTTGGTTTCTTGGCCCCTAGAGAATGGAATCATTGCAACCTGGAAATTTTAACCAAGAATTCTAAGAAAGTAAATGTAAGATGATATTATGGTGAGTTTTCCAAGTTCTAGATCAGGAGACAACTCAGAACCCTCAAGAAAAGATTCACTGGGACTAAGAATATACAGTGGTGCAACAAAAGCCTTCTTTGCATTAAAATCACTCCATTTGAATTAGAAAGCAGGTTGGTCCTCAATTTGCTTTTCCTCTACCTCATTCTCTCCTTGGGTGCATCAACCATGGAGTCAAAATAGTGGGACAAGAAAGTCCTGGGCCCTTGGGAGGTGCTTTTCCTGGGAAGGCACTTTGCCCATACCCAGGCAAGCTATCTTCCTGGAGAAACGTCTCCCCCAAGTGAAATTTCCAGTCAACTGTCAAATAGGGGTTTCTTGCCAGGAAAAGAGCCCTAAGACTTAAGTTTCCTTAGCATCAACCTAACCTATTCCTTCTCTTTGCTAACCTGACCCAGAACCGTCAATACTCTGTTAATGCCCCACATCCCACTTCAGGAAGAGGCTTCTCAACCAAAGTTGAGCTGAAGGCGTTATGGTCAAAGGGGAATGCTGCTATCTCCCCTTTCTCTCACCACGCAGCCCCCAGGGTTGCAGACATCTATACTCCCAGAGAAGATGCCAGAGGGGACAGCTATGACCACACAAACACACACACACACCCCAATACCCACACGCTGCATATGATCCCCAGTGGCACTTCTGGGAAGGAACAGAGTCGACTCCGCAGCTGAAAGACCACATCTAGGCCCTGTAGGGGCTAAAAGGCCTGAGTTCACCACTATTCTCCCCATCTCACACTTCATGAGGCACCCACACTTAGAACCCTTGCCTGCTCAGGGTCTATGCAATTCAATGGCCAGAAACCAAGCTGCTTTTTCTGAAACACAATTTTTTTTTCCCCATCTTCTTTTTGGCCCTAACCATTCCTGGACCCAGAAAGAGGGGTTTTCATGCCAGTACTAACAGGAAAAGGTCAGATTTTATAACAGGATGAACGTCCACTTCCAGAGAGCTGGCGGAAAGATTGTCTACATGGCAGTCGGCCCTGGAGCACCTTCCTGGCCTTCTCGCTCAGCCCCTCCCACCCAGTAGAGAAGCTGGCATGCCCATGGGAGGCAGAATAATGCAGACCACACCCCAGAGCAGAGCCAAGCCCCCTGGGGCATTTGGTAAGGAGGCCGAAGGTGGTGGACAAAATGTCCCAAGGCCTGACCAGTGCTGAAATCCGAATCCCTTTTCTGATCCAGGGGCTGTCTGTGACCAGAGCCTACCTCCCCTTGGCCTTCCCCAGTGCCCTCCTGTAGGAGGCAGGAGGGAAACGCACACTCAGAACCCAGCAGCGCAGCCTGGCTCAGGGAAGACTGGAACAGCACCTCCACCAGCAGACGTTGTGCTCCTTTGGTATATACACACTATAGTGGCAAGTCTTCCCCTCTGGTGCATCTATGCAGTGACATCTGCCTTGCCTGGGACTGCTGGTGAACACAAGCCCATGCAAACACTTTCCTTTCCTCACCTCTATCCCCACCTACCCGCTAAAGCTTTCTCTAGGTTCTGGTCTCCCAAGTAGATTAGATTTCACAAGGCATACTGGGAACTCCGGATGCAAAAGAAACTGCTCTGCTTCAAGGGGTACAAGGCAGCCCTTCCTCCCTGCCCTTAGGGGAGGTCGAGTGCAAAATGAGCAGCGGTCTTTGTCCAGATCTGAATAAACTTTGACCATTGTCACTCCCCTTCACATCCGGGAAAACAGGAGGCAGTGATCCCAACTCTCCACTCCCACCTACCAAACTGCTCCAAGACCCAGAGGCAGGAAGGGTAACCACGGTCGGGAGAAACTTGAAAAGTGTTCTAAGGAGCGAGCTGCGGGGAAGAGCTCTGAGCAGTGGGCAAGTGGGGTACATCTTCCAGTGGTTGATTGGCAGTTGGAAGATGACTGCCAGCGCTTCCCCACAGAGAGATGTCCAACCAGGAGCTGTAGGCGAAAGCCTTGTCCTCCACTCTGTACTACCAAGACCAACTCCAGGAACCCAACTGGAAAGGTGAGGCCGATGTGATTTTTCTTTCCCTCCATTAAGCTAAGCTTCTCCCCTCCTCTCTTCTAAATCGAGTTTATTTAAAAAAAAAAATAAAATCAAACTCGCTGCAATTTAAACCCATCATTTTGGAGGAAATCAATGCTATCATTGTCTGTGTGTGAAGGAGTGATTGAGTGTATGTGCCTTTGTGCGCGCGCGCGTGACTGTGTACGGGGATGGTTGGGGTGTTTTAAGTCTCCTTTCCAATCTCCCCCGCATAAGCAGCCAGTCACGGCTCCCGTCACTCCACCCGGGCTCTCGCAGCCCAGGCTTCGCTCGGTTCTGCACCGCCGAGGTCGGGCTCGGTCCGCCGCTCGTTCCGCGGCGCGCTCGCCCAGCCGAGCTCTCACCCGCTCGCACAGACTCCGGCTCCCGCCTGCGCCCTCGCCCGCCCGCTCCCCGCGTTCCCGGCTCCTCTCGGGCGCAGGAACGCGCAGCCCACTCTGCCCCCAAGGCTCAGGCGAGAGCTGCTCTCGCAGGTACTCACCTAAAAAGAAGAAGAGGCAGAAGGCGTTTGCCAAGATCATGTTAAATAGATCCCACAGTTCTTTCCTTTTTTTTTTTTTTCTTTCTCCCTTGGGTTAAAAATTAATAATAGTAATAATAATGATAACAATACTAATAGCCAAGCAGTGTTAATCAGCCCCAAATCCAATGCGGAGATCCCAGCTAGTCCACCCGGTGAAGATCCTGACTGAGTCCTGCGATTCTCGCCTCTGGCTCGAGGGGGTGGGGTGGAAGGAGGGCGGTGGGCCGCCTCTCGACGCCCCCCTCTTCCCACTAAAATAAAATACACACGTCTGTAATGTATAGATATATGTTTTAGGAACCGACAGCCCAGTCCTGAGGTCAACCTTCTTCTCAGTTGGTCCGGGAAGGCGTGGATCTCCACGGGTCCGATTCCCCTGCGCTTCCCAAGAAGGGGCTGGGAAGGTAGGGAAGAGGCGATTTGAGAATGAAGAGCTGTAGGAAGAGGCAAGGGTGGGGGTCAAAATTAAATGCAAAAAAAAAAAAAAAATGAAAGAAATCCACCGACGGGTGTGAAAGCCAAGAAACAATCCAGCGGGAGCTTCCAGAATCAGAGACCAGAGTGGCTTGTTTCGCACCAAGACGAAGAAAAAAGAAATCTTCTCCCACTAACCCTTGCTCGTCTCACTTTTTTCCTAATGGAATTCCGGTGCCCGTGTGCTCTGCGTGTGTGTCTTTCTCGCTCCTCTGCGCGGCTCTCCTCGCACTCGCTCTTTTGCTCTCGCTCTCCCCTGCTCTCCCTCGTTCTCCACCCCCCTCCCTGCTCCTCCCTCCGCCCGCCCCCTTCCCCCTTCGCTCCCTCACCGAGGCTCGCGCTCCCGCGCCCCTCGGCGGCTGGCAGCGCGGGGCGCGGGCGCGCGACGGAGCAGCGACACTCTGCAGCAGCGCCCGCACCACGGCAGTGGCGGTGGCGCCTAGGAACGCTGCGCCGCTGCCTCCCACTGCTCAGCTGCTTGCCCTTCCTCGGACTGACCTCCCTTGGCCGGAATCTGACCGGCTTTCCACTACGGTCCAAGATCAAGCCCACCGAAGCCTCTGCGCAACCCTCGTTCCCCGCGCAGTGCCACTTCTGTGGGCGGGCTTCGCCCTCCAACTACTAGGGCCCTTACCCTTGCGGGCGCCGGGTTTCAGAGGCTCAGACGAAGCCCGAGAGCGCCGAGTCTCGGGCACCTCAGTCATCCTGGGGGCGCGGGAGGGAATGGCTCTAGGGAAAAAACTCATCCTAAAGGCTTGGCTGTGGAGAGGGGTTCCAGCTTCCGCACCTTAGTCTGCCCCTCAGACCAGGAGCATCTTCTCCCCGATGGCACCACGGAACAGGATCCCTCAAGCGCCGGCCCTGCGCCTGCCTGGAGACTCGAGAACTTTCCCGCACACCCACGGCGCTCTGCTCCCTCGTCCTCCCCAGGATGCGTTCCCTTTCCTCACTGACTTTCCTTCCCCGGCGCCCGCCGGCCGCCGGGAGAAGGCTACTGTTCCTAGCAGGGTGCGCAGACCGCCTCCTATAAGGCAGGGACTTGATCGAGCCATATCCAAAGGTTTGGGCAGGAGCCACTCAGGACCAACCTGGGCCTGGGCTCTGCGCCAGAATCTCTACCAAGCCACCCCTTTCGACCCCACTTGCCCCAATCTTGATGACCCGCGGGGCTTTGGGGTGCTCATCTCGAAACAGCTAGTGGTTCCCCTAGTCCTGAGGCTCCTAGTGAGATCCCCCCACCCCCCGCCACGAAGGGACGATTGATCCATCTGTCAGTGGGCCGGGCTCACCAGAGTGTTTTAGTCACAGAATTTACAATTATAATCCGCCCAGAAACACCAAAAAGAAAGGGTCTGGCTGGGGAAGGGAAGCAGGAGAATGTGAGGTTGCTGACACATTCTGGCAAGAGGGGGCTGAGACGGCGGGGTGTGGACTCGCGGGAGCACACACCAGGGCGCACTCTGGCCACACACTCATATATCCCTTTATCACCCTCCCTACTGACAGGTTCTCGGCTGCATTAGAGCTGCTGGCATCCTCCAGCTTTCGCGCAGACATTCCTGCATGCAGCTTCCCGCGTGCACACGGTGTGCTAGGGTGGGGTAACTCAGTGCCTGCTAAACTTTCTGCGCTGCCCAAAATTGATCTGGGCTGCATCAAAGGCATGTTTGATAGTGCCTTTAAAGATACCTTTTCTACTTCTTCTTCTTCTTCTTCTTCTTTTTTTTTTTTTAAATGAACAAGACTCTGGGAAGAGTAAATGCTTGGAAATAGACTTGGGTGAAAAGGGGAGGGGTCACTGAAAACCAGCAAGCAGCCTTCGCTAGTGGGAAAGCTAGAGGGAGCAACTTCCATCTTGCGGATTTAGGCGGGAACGCAGCTTCTCAGAGCCTTGCAAGCACACAGTGAGTATCTCCTCCAGCCTGCCTGTCTGCCTTTCCATCCATCCTCAGGCTTGGACCCTCTCTGTCCCCTCCATCTTCTCCCTCAACCGTGGGTGGACTGATGGAGCTGCATCCTTGTGGGCAGTGAAGATGCTGGTCTGAGAATGCCCGAAGAAGAGAGCAGAAGAAAGCCCCCTTCTAGCCTATCCTTTCTAGGGACCACTCCCTTATTAAGCAATGATTGCACTTCTGACCAGGCCTCCTACCTTCTTTCCAAAAATTAGAAGACTTATGGAAGTGGCTTCAGGCCAGTGTGTTTCTTAAAAATGGAAAACCACAGGAATTACAATGCTGGCAAAGTGCGGACGGGAGCTTGACAAAAATAAACTTTCTGTTCCTCCTTCTACTTCCCGACCTTCTGGTACCCTAACTATACTCTCCACATCCTCACTCATTTCAGTGCCACACATGTGATCCATGTCATCTTGGTCAATTTAATTCAATCTCCCTGAACCTCAGTAAACTCATCTATGAAATGGACATTTAAAAAAATTGTTATGGGGATTAGATAAACTATTGTGTGTATTTTATTAGATAAACTCCTGTGTGGTAAAACCAAACACTTCATAAACTCCACGACTCATAGAAAGTGCTCGGAAACTTGCCAGTCATCACCTCTTTTAGGCAGAATACACAAGAGGAATCAGAGGCTTATAACAAAGTGATAAATGAGAAGCAGAGATGAAAGCTTTGGCAGTTCAAGGGAAATCAAGACTATTTTCTAGATAATAAAGGATATAAGCAGAGAAGGAGATGGTTTCCCAGCTGGTGCTAACACAAGTCCTTAGGTTCACTGATACACTTGCACACATCCTCAGGTGCCAGTATCCTTTGGGTTGCCCTTAGGGACACTCCTAGCTGCTCCTGAACTCCTAGGGAGATGAACTACTGTCCATCCAAGATCTTTCCTCCTCTGCAAACCCAGGAGTCATAAAGTGCAGCAGGAGGGAAAGAGAATACTTGGGGTCTTTAATTCATTTCTTTCCCCTGGTCTTTAGCCCTCCTTGCCTTATGGAGTGAATTCTGCCAAAGGCAGGAACAGTAATAAAAAGTAAGGAAAAAGAACTATTTTATTGGAGAGGAGGTTGTAACCCATTCCAGTGCATGAACATGAGCAAACACACATTCTCCTAGTCTCCTTTTTTCGTTCTCTCTCTCTCACACACACACACACACACACACACACAC